GCGTGAGTGAAAGTTGAGTCTTTAAGGTCCTTCAAAATACCAGTAGGGTGAAAGCTGTTTGAATTTCAGGTGCTAGACACTGCTACAAAAAAAACATGCCTACGGGGTGCCAGTAAGTGGTATTGTTTAGTTGATGGAACCCAGAGTGCATCAGTCTTGGTAGATTAAATCAGTTGAACAGATCCTATGGGAGACAGGCAGTCCCTCAAATAACCAGACTCTTTATTGTAAGGAATAAAAACAATTCCTTTATTGTAATATTTCTTTGCAATATTAGTGGCTTATGCGGTAGAGAGAAGATCCCCACCTCGATGTTATCTATCCTCTTGATTTTTAGTTTCTTATTTAATCTTAATTTTAAACATTTGTATTATCTTTTTTACCTTTTTTATCATTTTATAAACTGCCTGGAGTCTCTGCAACAGTGTGATGGATGGTATATAAATTTAATAAATAAATAAATTGTAATAATCATAGAATCATAGGGGTGGAAGGGACCTTGGAGGTCTTCTAGTTCAAGCTCCTGCCCAAGACCAGAGGCTGCATCCCAGACAAATGACTGTCCAGTCATTTCTTGAAGACCTCTAGTGATGGAGCACCCACAACTATGGGAGCAAATATGTTCCATTGTTCTGTTAGGAAAGTTTTCCTTAGTTCCAGATTGAATCTCTCTAATTCAATAATAATATTTAGGTTCTCAAGGGAAGATGTTTTCTGTAGTTTTAGATATGTGATCCTTTGGCCTTTTTTATGTTCTTACAGAAATAACAATTCCTCTACAATTTACCTATGCCAGTGGTGGCGAACCTATGGCACATGTGCCAGAGGTGGCACTCAAGAGCCCTCTTTGTGGGCACGCGTGCCATGCCCGGGAGATGACAACCGTCTCTCTTCAACCAGCCTCCTGCTAACTCGCTGAGGTTCCACGTGGCCGGATGCATCCCGGCACGGCTGGTTTCCCTCCCCCCTCCCTCCTGGCCTCGCATGCTCTCCTTTTCCCGGGCATGACCTACTGCATCACCTCCTCAGCTGTCGGCCAGCCATCCAGCTCAGAGGTGGCTTCTTTGAACTGCTAGTGGCGGGTTGTGGAGCCCCAGAGTGTGCCGGTTGAGGGGCCGGCAGGCTGTGGCTGCTGACAGACACCGTCGGCCCCCATGCGCTCGCTGGCCCCTGTGTGCGGGGGCCGATGGTATCAGGCAGCAACCATTCCAGCCCTTGCCTTGCCCCATGGCAATGGCACCCCCACCCTGCCTCACTTCACCCCGTAGGACGAGCCTCCTGCCTTCCGCCCCACCTGCCAGAGACCCTCTGGATCTCCCCCAACCCTGCCCAACCCCCATAGGCATCCCTCCCCACGAGCAAAGTTGAGGTGACCACGCCCACCTTGGTCACACCCACCCAATCTGCCATGACCACCACAGCCACACCCACCCAGTGGGCCATGCCCACCTGGCACCCAGCAATAAATGTGTTTTGAGTTGCAGTTTGGGCACTCGGTCTCTAAAAGGCTCGCCATCACTGACCTATGCTTTTAAAAATTATTCCAGGACTTACATATTACATTTTTGGCAACAATACACTGCAAAGCTAACTATAAACAGAGACTGATTTAAAAAAATAAAATCCAATTATTTTTGATGCAATAGAATGTCAGTGATGTTTTTGTGGCAGTATATTAGTAAATGTTAGGGAAAGTTAAATAGCTAGAACAAATCCATTGTTTGAGGCAAACCTGAGAAAATAAAAAAAAATGAAAATTATTGCAGGATAATATATACTATGAAATCAAAATGGGCTTCCGGTTTGTGATCGCTCTCTCCGCTGTCCGGTTTTCTCCTGCCGGGGGACCCTGAAAAGGGTCGGAGGTCGCCCTGGAGGGGCGACAAGCGTGAAGAGGACCTCCGGGTGATCGCAGAAGGTCAGCAGCCCTCCCGTTTGATCTGGAGCAGCTCTTCGAACTGACGGGGAAAAGATCGGCCATTAATATGGCCCATCACTAAGCTGTTACCAGCCAAGGCCAAAATTATTATCAAGCACTTCGAAAGCACCGCAGAGGAATTGGGAGAGATCTTACCTTCTTTGTATCCCAAGTATTTTCCTGCAAAAAGCCTCTTGAAAGTTCTTCCCCCTGTGAGGAGAGAGGGAAGGGAACGTCTTCCTCCCACCCTCTAAAATGGCGGCACCTGACTACTTGGGAAAATAAAGCCTTGGAAAAGAACAACTGAGTATTTGGATTTGCATCTTTTTGATATTTGGGGACCCAAAAAGGTCCTACTTTCACAGGGCTCTGTTACTTTATCTACTTGTAAAAAAGATGAAAGGATAAAAACCCAGCCCGTCCTGAAAAAGACTATAAATGCTATCGGGGACATCTTGTGGTGAAGTTTGGTACAGCAAGTGAATATTCTTGACCAAGAGACCTGCTTACAGCCCAGACCTGTCCTTGGTATTATCTAAGAGATAAAAAGCTGAGAGAACAGCTGGGCAGTGAAATTGGCTTCTAGGAACTGTGGAAGTGAACACTTACTGACTCTTGTTTAAAAAATAGCCTCCACTAAAGGACCATTCATAACTATCTCAGAAATGGAGGAGGACCAGCAACAAATTTCGGCTAATTAGAAACTTATACTTGAAAATATTCTTGAAGATACTGAGATAATTAAATCCAGACTGAAAGACAAAGGTGCCAGCTTAAACCTACAACTAAAGAACTTACAATTCATAAAACAACAGAAGTGGAAGAAATTAATACCAAGACAGAGGACTTTAAAGAACAAGTACAATGTACTGAAAATTTTGAAAACCAAACCCCGATTGCAACTAAAGAACCTACAACTCAAAAAGCAACAGAAGCAGAAGAAAGTAATACCAAGACGGAGGGTATTAAAGATCAACAAGTACAGCACACTGAAAACCTTGACAACCAAACAACAACCATAAAATTGGACATGACTTTTTACTTAAACCAGAAGAAACCTGAGGAGGAAGACCAGACCGAATTGAAGATAAATATACTAGAGCAAATATGGAGACCTGAGCCACCAGGGCAACAACTTAACAATTATAAATGGGCCAGTTCCTCTGGAAAATTAATAACCAGATGGTCTCCTTTGATTCAAATAACATGTGCAAGAATGAAGAGAGATCTATCTGATGATTTAAACGCATTGGTATGGAAGCCTGGTTGGCATAAAAAGAAAGCTAGAGTTGGTTTTAAAAAATGGAGTCTTCTGATTTATGACAGAAGATCCTAATGTCTCAACTAATGGCCTAAAGGGAGATTTTGAGATGAAGGGAAATGTGATTATAGATTTAAATATTGTTGGAAAATGATAAAAAATAAGGGATTAATTGCCTTAATATTTAGGATTTAGATTCATAAGGGAAATGAAAATTAACTATTGGAAATAGCTTTGAATTATTGTTTAGCCCAGATAATACAGATGATGGACTTGAGACAATAAAGGACACTCTATTAGTAAGTGGTGATGTACTAGCATGAGAAATAGAAAATGTTTATGAAATAAATTAAGAATATATTCAAGTAAATAATATGTGTATCTTAGATATTATAACTTTTATGTAGTGAAATAAAGGAAATTTGTGTTACTCGAAACTTAAATACTATGGATGTTAAAGGTTAAATTGGAATACCGTAATTAAAAATTAGGTAAAACTTAAAAACAGGATATGGATATGTACAAGCAAAAAATATATTGATAAATGTCTCAACTGAGCTTGTTATAATTAGAAATTTACTTTTTTAAATATGATATAGCAAATGTTAATGGAAATAGAGAAGGAATTTTTGATGATGTAACCTGACATATATACTAAAGATTTTGTTATTGAATTATTGATTACCCAATCACCACGCTGCTTTCTAAATACTTAAATGTAAAACTGGAAAACCAATCAAATTTGTTATAAAAAAAGAAATCAAAATGAAAACAGTGTATTGCCTCAGGCGGTTATAGTAGTTTTAAAACATGTATTAAATTTTAATACTATAACATAAATCTTACAGGATTGGTCTCTGCTGAAATTCTGAAGAGTGTAACCAGTCAAAATTATTCAAAAATAAGCTTAATCAGCTTGTTTTCTTCTATGCACTTAGGCCTCATAATATCATCAGTTCCCAGTTTATCTTTGGGGGGGGCGGGGAAGAGGACAGTTAACATAATGTCAGACAAAGCATGAGGTGCTAAGAATGTAGAATCCAAGAAAAGAATTTCTTGGACATTTTTCAGGATAGCACCTGTGAGAGCCCCTCAAATGTATTTGCCTTCATTCCCCTCATGTCTTCCTTTTTTGCTTTTGCCTATATACTTTTGGGGCTTGCCATACTGTTGGGGAAGGGTACTTGCATAGGGCATATTATTTACTTTGCTCTGCTCTGTACGAGGTGCCCTCCCTCTGAGCGAGAGGACTGCAACCTGAAAACATCTGCCTTATCACCAGACAATGGAGCCTGGGACCGTTGGGAAATGAAACCGAGAGAGACCTTGAGGAGGGCGCTAAATCTCCAGGTTCTCATAACACTCTGGCACCTGTGGATTGGCTGTATTTCAACTGGACGGTTGGACACTGGGGGGAGGAGTTTTGAATTGTCTTTTGATGTACCCTTTCGTGTGCCAAATCTTCAGACTTGCTTTGCTCTCTTGCCATCACTAACTCTCAATAAAAGTTCCTTTTGAAAAGATGCTGGTTTCAAAACTTCTGCTTTCTTGGGAGATCTAGTTGAGGCAGTCCTTACAGCACTTTATTTTAAGATGACATTCTTTAAATTTTACTTAGAATAATTTTAAAATGAATAATGATGGGATCTTGCAGGCACCAAGGATGGCATCCATCAGCAGATTGACATCCATGAATGCTTTTTGGGGGGAGATTCTTCACATAAGCCTTGGATTGCAAACCAGTGAAGTTGTATTATGTTACACTGCAGTTCTTAAATTCAATCAATAATCAAATTTAATAATTCTTTGGAATTTTTTCAGATCTGTGTGAGCAAGTGTCCAGATAGGTATCTCACTTTTCTAAAGGCCTCCAGTATCGATCACACAGCAACCCAGGAACTAAAATATTATCAACAGTTTTGTGTCCCAGAGTTTACCGATCTGAAGAAGGTAAGTGGGCTAGATTGTTGGATTGTTGCTCTGTTCTTTCTGAAAGTACAGGTAAAGAATCTGCTTTTCTGGTCAGAAATTAATTTTGATGCACCCTGTCTCTCTCAATCTCTGTTCCAGAGTGCGCCTGAAGTGTTGAAAGATGGTGAATGCCCAGCCATGCTTACACCAAGCAAGCCCTGTAAGTCCTTCTGGAAAAGAAGGCTGGTAGAAGAAACTCTGGGGATTTATTTCTAGTTTCAAGAACAGCTGAACCACTTTAGCACAAGCAAGCAAGGGCTGTGACTGCCCACTTCCATAGTCATTCTATATACAGTACAAACTCTAGATTTGATGCTGATATCGCTTGTTACTCACAGGAGTTACTTAGCCCAGTTTTTCCCCTATCTCTAAGATTTAAAAACATCCAAATAATTAGTTACCTAAACTCTGTAGCTGCTTGGATTTGGTGACTAATTCTTATTCACTTAAACTTTTGACACTATTACTATGTAGCTTCAATGATTCAAGGTGGGAGCAGAAAGTAAAACCTGTGATAGTTTCCAGATTCTTTCCCAAAATCGGCAACATGGTTTGGTTATGCAGAGCAGAGCTTGGTCTCTGCTTATTGTTTTAAAGACCAATATATTAGGTAGAAAGATCAAGGATGTTGCTTTTAGCAATTCGCACAACTTATATTGAATAGATGACTATGATTCCTGTAACTTAAAATGAATATTTTTTGTGTGCCAAGGGATCCCTCTGTCAGAATCCATTAATATTTCATTTCTATCTATCTACTCTGATCTAAAATCAAATCTTGCCTTCCCCTGGATTCTGCCATACTCCCAAGGGGGAGGGGGGATATGCCTGCAGGGTTATGACTTTCATTTCCTCTATTCTCTACAATGTAATCTTTTGTTTATTACCTCTGGGTCTGTTGCCCATTACAATGTAACAAATTGCCTCATCCACTGTGCATGTCTCTGAACTTTCTTCTCCCTAACCTGGCAGTTAGGAAAAAGAGGGGGGGAGAAATACAAACATCCGGAACCTGGCTTATTTCTCCAGTCTCAAAAGGAGGTATGAAGAGCTGTGGAACATCGTGCTACAAACGCAGCCGGAACGATATTATCTTCCTTTAAGACACTAAGAAAAAGACTCAGGCATGTCTTGAGCAGAGGTTTGAAGCTTCAGGACACAGCTTGACAAACTCTGAGTTTATTGCTTCTTATATACTTGTTACATACACCAGCTTAACCATTAAATGCTGACAAAGGTTTCTTCATTAGAAAATGTCTTCATGTAAGCAACTATTTTCTAGTAACACATTACATGGTCAAAGACCAGGTAAGAACAAATACAGGGAGATGAAAGCAGAAGGAACTAACAAAGACAGGAAGAGATAGGAAGGAACTTAAGCATATTATCTGTTTAGGTAGGTGAGGCATTAAGTCAAAAGGTATGACCTTCTGGCTGCTTCACTGGGACAAAGAGTATCAAAAGGTTATGAGGTTTGTGTGTGTGGGGGGGGAAAGCACGGCAGTTTGCTGCGCGTGCATTTTTCCCCACATCTTCCCTTTCCCACGATAGACTTAACACCTAGGGATTGGCCGGTCTGAACCATCCGGATGAACTGTGGGGTGGGGTTTGCTTAGGGATCCTTTAAAGTATCAATCTGTAAAGAATCCCTCAAATCCTGTCTATTATGCCTGCTATCAACTACTCTTAATAAAAGTTCCTGTTGGAAGAAATTGTTTCCAAGAGTTCTGCTTCCTTAAGATGTGAGAATGAAGTGGGTCCTTACATTAGATAGGATCTGCAGTAATAGTCAACCTGGATGGAAGACCCTTACCGGGGGACTTTGCAAAAAATACAATGTCGGATGAGGCAGGGAAGGGAGAAACCCCCGTAGAAAGGGAGCCTTCCCCCCGACCGGGATCCTGCCAACTATTGGGATCCGAACCGTCATACTCCTTAGGAGAAGTGGAAATGCGCGACCATGTTTCGATGGGCGTTGGCAAGAAAGATGAGTGGGAAAAGAGATCGAGAAAGGTGACCCTGACACAGGGCAGCCACCAACCTGAATGGAAGCAAGAGATGGAGAAATCCCTGCACGCTAACGAAGAGGAAGGAAGTTGTGCACAGCACTCGAACTGGATCCTAGAGAGGGCTATTGACCTGATTAAAAGAACCCTCGGCTCTTTAGGGGAGGAAAAACCTGAGCCCCATGGCCACACCAGCACCTGGAGCTACAGCTGGAGAGGCACTGAAGGGGAATCGGAACCTGTAGTCCCGGGGACATCTGCTGAACCAGCAGCTACCACTTCAGCAGCCCCCACTTCCTGCCGACCCGCAGATGGCAATCAGGATAGGAGACAATACTGCTGGCGGCGAAGGCATCGATCCATTCAAAGATTCCCGCTGCTGGACACGAAATTCAGGGGGGAGCTGCCATGCTTGGGGTTCTTCCTAACCCAAGTCCTCAGCTACATGGAAGAATATGGACAGGACATCCCCAGCGACAAAGCCCATATCCGTATCGTGCAATCCGCCCTGGACGGACCAGCCGCAGACTGGATGGTGAACCTGCATGATTCCAACGCCCCAGAGCTCAACGACTTCAACCGCTTCATGTCCTCTCTGAAAGGCGATTTGAGGACCCCCCTGGCTGATCGCAAAACCCGCGAGAGAATCAAAATGGTGAGGCAGGGCAGATGCTCAGTAGCAAAATATACACAAGAATTCCGGACCATTGCCAGCAAACTGAACTGGCCGGAAGACAATGACTATATTAGCTCCCTCCATGCCCAAAGCTGTCAAAGTGAAAGCCTTAATAGACTCTGGCTGCACCTGCTGCCTCATTAGCCCGACGCTAGTGGGGAACTTGGGCATTCAGATGAGGAGGCTGAAACAACCAAACTCATTTGGCCAGTTAGATGGGTCCATAACAGAGGGGTTGCCAGCTACCCTAGCCACTTTACCAGTCCACCTATCCCTGGGGAACCATGAGGAAGACATAACGTTTGTAGTGACCCCAGGCATGAAATGTCCAGTGATCCTAGGGCTGGAATGGTTAAGGAAATGGAACCCCTGGGTAAATTGGAGGACGGCAGAAATCAACCAAATTTAGGAACGGAGAAAGCATCGATGGGAGAGGAAAAAGGGCTACCCGAAATACCAGAGGAATACCGAGACCTTGCTGAAGTTTTCAGTGAGGAGCGGGCAGATGAGCTTCCCCCTAAAGTAGCCACCCCGGTCCTCTTTAGAGAGAAGAAGGACGGCACTTTACCCTTGTACGTGGATTACCGCGCCTTGAGTGCAATCAGTGAAAGTAACCTATACACCTACCCCTCATGAAGGACATGTTATCCCACCTCTTGAAAGGAAGAATTTTCACTAAACTAGGTCTAAGGGAAGCGTATTACCGCGTTAGGATTAAGGAAGGGGATGAATCGAAAACCGTATTTAATTGCCCAATGGGATGCTACCAATTCAAAGTTTTGCTGTTTGGACTACAAGCCCCCCCCAGTATTTATGCAATTAATCAACAAGGTACTAAGGGAGCACCTATTTAAGGGGGTTCTGGTTTATCTAGACAACATCCTTATCTTCACCAAATCCAAAGAGGAACATGTCAACCTAGTCAGAGCGGTTTTTAAAAACTGCGAGCTGCCCACCTATATGCCAAATTAACGAAATGCGAATTTCACCAGGAAAGAATAAACTACCTGGGTTATCGCATATCCCCATAAGGTATTGAAATGGACCCCAAGAAGGTCAGAGCAGTACTAGAATGGGCACCACCTCACACAAGGAAGCAGTTGCAAAGTTTCCTGGGTTTCGCAAACATTTACTGCCAATTCATCCCTTCATTCGCCCAAATAGCCCTGCCCCTCACGAACTTACTAAAAATGAAGGGAGAATCCTCAGTGAGACCTAGCCAGCCACTAAAATGGACAATGGAATGCCAGGCGGCATTCGAGAAGTTAAAGAGACTTTTTTCTGCAGAACCCGTACTGAGGCACCCAGACACGGATAAACCTTTTGTAATACAGGTGGACACAAGCGATGTGGCAGTGGGGGCTGTACTATTACAAGAAAATGACGAAGGGGTATTGCAACCGTGTGCGTATACGTCCAAGAATCTCACCAAAACGGAACAGCACTGGCCCGTGTGGGAAAAAGAGGTATACGGGGTGCATTGGTCGTTACTTATGTGGTGTCATTTCCTTGAAGGGAATAAAATCCTTTTTCAGGTCTGGATGGACCACAAAAACCTGGAAGCCTTAAAAACACCCAGGAAGCTCACTCCCAAGCAAGCCCACTGGTCCCAGCATTTTCACCAATTCCGTTTTGCGCTCAAGCACTTGCCTGGGGGGAAGAACTTCCTGGCAGATGCACTGTCTCGCATGCTCCAATATAACAGCACGCGAGCCACCGATTCTAAACCACTCATGCCTGAATCACAACTGGTAGCACCAGTAACCACCAGAGCCCAAGCTAAATTAAAGCCGCAGCTGGGTAGCCAAACTGGAATCGAATTCTGGAAAACTTTGGAAACAGAAGAATGGTTCCAGAAAAATAGACACGTGTGCACAATCAAGGACGGACTGCCATGGGTGGGGGAGAAAGATATATACCAACTATCCAGAGGGTCACTTGCATGCAGCTATGCCATGATACAAAATCAGCAGGGCATTTTGGATTTGTAAAAACATTACATTTAATTAAAAGGCAATTTTGGTGGCCGTCCAGGAAAAAGGACATAGAAAGTTATGTGGCCAGCTGCCCAACATGCGCAACTGCCAAGAGGTTGCAAGGAAAATCTCCCGGACTGTTAACAACCAGTGGCAAATCACTCAGCCCCCTGGATAGAAATATCCATGGATTTTATAGTGGAATTACCAGAAAGCAATGGAAACACTGTCATCTGGATGTTTACGGTCTTGTTTTCCAAACAGGTGCACTTTATCCCTTGCCAAAAGATTCCCACCACAAAAACCTTAGCAAAAGTATTCATGCAGCACATCTACAAACTGCATTGGCACCCCAACACATCATATCTGATAGGGAAGTGCAATTTACATCAGAATTTTGGTATATTTGTCTACAAAATACCTAAAATCCCTACAGCCTTGTAAAAAAACTTGGCCCAAAATATATAGGACCTTTTCCAATTAAAAGAATCATAAACCCAGTAACAGTAGAATTAGGACTACCCAAAAACCTCAGGCAAATACACCCAATTTTTCACTGCAGCTTGCTGAAAAGAGAACAACAGTCGCCTTTACAGCCAAAAATCTCCCCCACCACCCCGAATGATGGTTGAAGGAGAACAACACTTCGAGATAAAAGAAATCCTAGATTCTAGGAAGTATCATGGGGCAACTCAATACCTAGTAGCATGGAAACACCTTCCCTCCTCACAAAACGAGTGGGTCCATAAACGTCACGTCAGAACAGCGAAACTGCTAAAGAAGTTTCATACAGAATACTCCAACAAACCAGACTAACCTCTATACCTGTTTTGTTTCTCTACAGGTGGATCTCTCATTTTTAAGGGGGGCAGGATGTCAGAATCCATTTATATTTCATTTCTATCTATCTCCTCTGAGCTAAAACCAAATCTCACCTTCCCCTGGATTCTGCCATACTCCCAAGGGGAAGGGGGGATATGCCTGCGGGGTTATGACTTTCACTTCCTCTATTCTTTACAATGTAATGTTTTGTTTATTGCCTCTGGGTCTGTTGCCCATTACAATGTAACAAATTGCCTCCTGCATTATGCATCTCTCTGAACTTTCTTCTCCCTAACCTGGCAGTTAGGAAAAAGGGGGGGAAAGAAATACAAACATCCGGAACCTGGCTTATTTCTCCAGTCTCAAAAGGAGGTGTGAAGAGCTGTGGAACATCGTGCTACAAACGGAGCCGGAACAATGTTATCTTCCCTTTCCCATGATGGACTTAACACCTAGGGATTGGCCAGTCTATACTGTCCGGATGAACTGTGGGGTGGGGTTTCCTTAGGGACCCTTTAAAGTATCGACCTGTAAAGAATCCCTCAGATCCTGTCTATTATGCCTGCTATCAACTACTCTTAATAAAAGTTCCTGTTGGAAGAAATTGTTTCAAAGAGTTCTGCTTTGTTAAGATGTGGGATTGAAGTGGGTCCTTACACCCTCTTTTTTCTTTTTTTTTCCTTTTTGAGCCAAGTTGTTTTTGAACTTTCAATAGTGGATGAGCTTCTTTCAGCCAGATGTTTATAACACATATAATTCTAATAAATTCACCATTGAAGTTAGATTATGATTGAATACAGCCTGTATTGGTAGTCACCATTGGGAGTTGAATTTAGATTACCGGTATGTTAAATAATACTTAAGCTAATAGGAACCAAACCTTGAAATCATATGTATTAATAATTGTGCTATAATAAACATTTGATTGGCAATACAACCAACTGGAAATACATCTAAATAAAACAGGAACTAACATGGAAATATCTACTTTAATGAGAGCAGGGTGGGGCAAACCCTGCCTTTAACTTCAAGTTAAATAAAAATATTTTTAAATACCTCTTAAAAACCTTCAGACTTTGAAGGGTAAAGAGGGAGCTAATTCTAGAGTTCTTGAAATGGGGATGGGGAACAGAAAGGAAACTCTTTCTAGAGAATATAAAATATGAACAAGATTGTCAGAGAACATACAGTTATATACTGGAGGAGGGGAGATGAGGTACTGGGAGGCTACTGGGAAGAACCAGTAGATTAAAGTGGGTTGGCTCAAATAGGAAACTTGTGAAGGCCCTGCAGTGTTTGTGAAACATGAGAATATGTTGCTCTAATGAGGCAGAGGAAATCACTGAGGTTATGTATTTAAATCTCTCTGATGTTTAAACAGTGGCTCATAGATGTTTACCTGCAATCAACAGCAAGCAAGGTGTTATCATGGTTGGAAATGCAACAACTTTTGATGATGGAAGTGGAAGTGAGAAGAAAAGGAATGTGACAGAACTTCTGGAAGGGGCCAAGTGAGTTTTATTTGCGTGTTATGGTAAATTTATTTATTTGGTTTACATGGACAATTAGCAAAAAATGACTCTGGGTAGGAACATAAAAACCAAGTATTAGAAAATCAGTAATAATCTGGAATTGAAAAGAGAAAATAATAATAATAAATAACAAGATTAACCTAATTAACCAAGGCCAAACAACACTTATCATGTTTAAGATCTTTCATTCTGGCCTAATATCTGAGGAGAAAAATAAAACATCCAAACTTTGTGGAGAATGTTATTTCACAGGGCAGGCACTGTTAACATCTATGTTACAGGCATCTAGAGCCCACTAGGTGATACTCTTTCATGGAAGGGACTTGAAGAATGCCCACTCTGCTCGATTTCATGGGCCTAGCAAAGATAATTGGAGACAAAATCTCCCCAAATAGCCTGGTCTGTGTCACAAAGGATTTTATAGGTCTATAAGCATGGGAATTGCATCTGAAAAATTATAGGGAGCCAGTGCATGTGGCCATGTAGTGGTGTTAAATGGGCATATCAAGTTACTTTCATAACTACTTGTACCTCTGAATTCTGGATCAGTTACAGTTTCTGAATGGTTTTTACAAACAGGCCCATGTATGGTGTATGGCAATAGTACAAATAGGAAATGATCAAGGCATCAGAGACTGGAGTGGGGCTTCTCAGTCCAGGAACAGACACAATTGTTGTTCAAGGTGGAATTGTCCAAAGTATTGTCCTCCTTGACCACAGCTGCAACTTGTTCTTCCACCAGAAACTGAGTCCATGAAAAGTCTCAAATCTCATACTAGGTCTGTCTGGAGGAATGTATCCTCATTTAGGATCAAAACTAGAGAATCCTCAATAGCACAGAGATACTCAGTTTGCTCTGTTTAAACTGAATACTGTTTTTTCCTGTCCAAACTCCCACAACAAAATAGGACTTTGATAGCAACACATGGTCAGTCTAGGTGGAGAATGTATAACTGGGTATAGCTGACTTATTGAAGATACTTGTGTCAAAGAAATCTAATTCTGCTTCAGCCATTGTTATTTCTTAGCTTGCCAACAGATGCAGGGGGACGGGATGAATGGAATGTGCATTTGCAGCTGTGAAATCTGGGAAGCAAGGTCATTCGAGATTGTTACTAAGAGACAGGTTTTTTCTCATAACAATTATCTGATGCTTAATTGGGGAATGTGACTTGCACTGTCAGGGGAAGGGAAGTTTCTATACTTTTAATTTGCTGTTCAGGTGCCAAATTGCCAGAGCTGGTTTTCTATTCATCAGTGCTGATATGCTGTACTTAATAAAAGCTTTGCATTAGAGATTGGAATGTCTCAGATGCTTACTTCATTGGGATCATCAGTCAGAACTTTGACACTAAACCAGCTCTCCTTTCAAGCTTAATTCTAACTAAAGGGTCCTGAGCCCCTATGTCCCATCTGGCTAACTCCAGAGGGTAGTGAAGATTCAGGAGAAGATGCCCGAGATGGAGCAATCAGCTAAAGACAGGACGGGGTTGAAGGATGGAACTCCAGACAGCCAAGGGGGACCCCTGTACCCAGCTGGCCTCAATGCATCCCAAAGTGAAGGCGGAGAGAACGGAGTCATTGGGGATGCTGGGATGGACCAGGGCGATGGCAGCCTTCAGCCAGTTGAGCCTGGAGCAGTGGCAAGAGGGGCCGCAGAAAGCCGCCGAAGCCGAATTCCTCTTGGTCCACCCTGGAGCTGAATTTGTATGAGAGCCAAGATTCAGCAGCCTGGAAGTGCACGGAGGAGAACTGATCTGGAGGTTAGATCTACCCCTCCGGTTGGGATCCGGTCAACCCTGGGCACCAGTGCTGACCTTGTTGCCCCCGCCCCAACCAGGAATAGTGATAGTCACGACTGGGGGAATGGTTAGCTCCCAACCAGTTGTTTTTCCACAGCCTGGCCCCAGTCTGGGACCTGGAGCTCCCAGTCCTCAACCAGCTGCCACCCCACTGCCCGGGGCAGCTGGTCAACAGCTGCCACCATGGCAGATGTATGGTGCCCAGCCGTGGCTATTCCCTTATGGGGATGGGATGGTCACTGGGGCGCCCCAAGGCCTCTGCATGGAGGCCATCGTGGCCAACCTTGAAGGGGAAGCAGCAGAATGGGTGGCAGCTCTCCATGACAAAGGAGCCCCCGAGCTGGGGGTCTTGATGCATTTTAGGAGAGCTCAGAGCCCGATTTGACAATATCATGCAGACCCAACGTGTGGAAGCTTGAGGTGTGCAACATAAGGCAAGGAAGCAGACCCATGGTAGAGTACATCAGAGAATTCTGGATACTTGTGGGGAGATTGAGGCATTGGCCAGAGCAACTCCTGACCTACTACTTCAGAGAAGGTTTGAGCTGTGAGTTGTACCACACTTGCTTGCCTAGAGGAATACCGGACTGACTCAATGACTGGTACCAACTGGTGATGAATGTGGAGTTGGACCTGTTGGAGTACAAGGATTGCGGGAGAATCAAGACCTATCCGAAGAGGGGCCAAGAAAAGCGCAAGCTGGGTAGAAAGCAACCGGCATTGCCATCTCCTGCCCTGCTGAACCCCCAAGACGCACTCCCAGCTTGTGCTTCTGTTGCAGTCAGGAAGGTCACCGAGCTGCCATGTGCCCCGCTCTGGTACCCAGGTCAGTGCTGACGATCCCGCCTCCTCCAAAACCCAAAAAGCTGTCAAGCAAAGGGAAGGAAAAGGAGCGTGTGGCTCGCCAGGTTGTCGAGGTCTCCCTCCCCGAAAGTGAAGGGGAGGGAACTCCGGCTGAAGAGGACTTGAAATTGAACCTCTACAAGAGTGACAATGAGGGAGAAGACAAACCAATGGTGAGTGGACCTATCAGCCCCCTTGCAGCCCAATTGGACCTTGTACCGTCCCGCTCCAGGGGCGAGAGTGGTAGTTAAGGCCCTAATAGACTCAGGGTGCACCTGATGCCTAATCAGCCTGCCAACTGGGGTTGCAAGTGAGGAAGCTAAGGCAACTCATGAAATTTGAGCAAGTCGACGGCTCCCTGGTGGGGGAGTCTAGCTGCCCCCTACTTGATTGATCCAGTGTACCTGAGACTATTCGAGTCGTGGTTGCCCCGAAAATGGCTGAGGCCATTATCCTGGCTAGCCAAATGGAGTCCCAAGGTCCATTGGGAGAAAAGCGCAAAACAAGTAGTAATGAAGAGGAGGAGCCCCGACCTCCCAAGGGAGAAGAAAGTCGGGTCCACACAGGAAAGAAACCTGAGGGGAAGCCCCAAACACAGTAAGGCCATGTCAGAGCCAGGGGAGGAACAGCAGACCTCATATCGAGACCTCATGGAGGCGTTCACCTAGAAGGAGTGTGACGTGCTGCCCCCTTACTGCCCCACAGACTGCGCCATAGACTGAAGCAAAACTCCCAAAGCCAAAAATGTATTCCATGACTCCAAGGGAGATGAAGGAGCTGAGGGACTACATCGATAAGAATTTGGTGAGGGGGTTCATTCAAGTGGCAAATTCCTGAGTGGCAGCCCCAGTGCTATTCAAAGAGAAGAAGGATGGGTTGCTGAGATTGTCTATTGATTTTCATGGAATTAACGGAGCGTGTGTGTTGGAATATTCATGAGCAGGAAGAGTCATGTGGTAACTCAGTCAGCCAATGTGAAGAAAGTGCTACTGAGTCTGTGCAAAAGGTATTGAGTTAGGAGCTGGATTTTGTTTGTTTCAGTTTCAGTCTCTGGTCTGTCTCTGCTGTAAGAAGTATTCATTGTGCTATGTTGCTGTAAAGAAGAAGGTATGGTATTGTAAATAATTTTATATGAATATAAAGAGTTTATTTGAATCAGCTAAATGCAGTCAACTGTGAGAGCTTCTGATTTATTTTTCACCAATAGAGAAATTAAAATTCTCTAACTTACTAAGGACTGCATTGTAATTTAAAGCTGGAAGAAATTGCCTGTGTTTAGAAAGTATAAGAACAAGGCAGAATTAGCAGAATGGCTGCAATGGAATTTAAGGAAAGCTTTGTGCCTCGTTTAGGGCAAAAGAATTACATTATCTGGGCAGCAAAAATGGAATGTTTGCTGAAAGCAAAAGAGCTGTGGTATATTGTAGAAAATCCCCCACAAGTATTTGCAGCTACTGATCATAAAAGGCATGATCAAGCCATGGCTTATCTCATCTTGAATTTAGATGATGAACAGTTTCTAAATGTTGCAAATCTAAAGACTGCAAAGGAAATTTGGCTGAAGTTGAGAGCTGTGCACATGAATGTTTCTGCATGCAATATAGTGCAATTGTCAAGAAAACTTTACAGAGCCTGTTTGCAACCAGGTGAATCTGTGGAACAGCATTTAAATAAAATGCAAAGTTTATTTTTGGACTTAGAACAACGTGGGATTAAATTCCCTGAGTCCCAGAAGGTTTTATTGGTGTTGAACAGTTTAGATAAAACCTGGGACACAGTTTCTACAATATTTGAGTGCAAAGAAGAGAAAGACTTAAATTTTGAGACTTTAAAGGCATGTTTGCTTAATGAAGAAGAAAAGCACAATTTCAGGAGTAGCCACGAGGAAGAGAAATTCCTGAGGAGGGGGTCCAGACTGCAAGTCTCCGGAGCAGGAACCAGCAGCAGATGGGACCAAATTGCAACAAAAGAGAGATTTTGCAAGCTGCAAGAAAAGAATTGCTATATTTGTGGAGCCAGCACACATCTGAAAAGGAACTGTTTGCAGAGGAACAATTTGCAGGAAAAGACATTTGTGCATGCAAAGAAGACTAATTTGCAAAAGGAACATTTTGGTGTTGTAAAAGTTTGCTATAGCAACAACAGAGACAAGTGGCTAATAGATAGTGGGGCAAGTCAAACAATTGTTAATGACTCTGAATTATTTTGCAGGTTTGTTCCAGTAGCACAAGAAGCTGTGGCTTTGGCAAATGGCTAGAAAGCAAAAGTCATTGGAAGAGGGGGTGTAAAAATTCCATATTTGGAATCAAAGTTTACCAATGTGCTTTGTGTACC